CAGTCCATCGGGCCGATCTGAGAACACTACTAAAAGCGAGGATTGGTCTTGAATGCGTTGAATGGGTCTGGATTGTTGAATAGGGGGTTTTCAGACTCGACGTCGGTGAAATTGCTTGTTGGGTCTCGACGATGATGTTGGTAGCGGTGGTGCCGGCGGTGGTTCCGGCGGGAATCTCGATTTGGGTGTCAGAGATTTGGAGGGTTCTCAGAAGAATGTAAAGCAACAGCAACAAGCGGGACAAGATGTGCACTCAGTGCCAGATTCCCCTATGTTGGAAACGACGTCGTCTTTCGGGTCCACTTCTTCTTCACCTTCTCTCGCGAATTTGCCTCCGATTCGGGTTCACGTGGACGACGGGGTGGGTGCTGGTGGCGGCGGCGGCGCTAGGATGCAGGATCAGAAGATGGGGATCGAAGAACAGTTCGCTCAGATAAGCGTTGTTGGGTTGCAGAAGCAGCAGGATGAGGGGTTTGTGGTGCTTTCATCGCCGCCGCCGATGCCGACGACCATTGCTATAGCCGGAGTACAGGTGAGTGGTGCGGCGGCTTCTGGGGAGTACCTGAATCGGGTTTTCTCCGATGATGAGAGATCGGACCATGGGGTGCCGGTTGGATACCGGAAATCAGCGGCTCCTCCGTCACAGACGCAAAACCTGCCTCCTCAGCCTCCACAAAAGTCCGGTGGTGGTCACGATTTGCCTTCTCCTGATTCAGTTGCAAGGTACCATTTTCATTGCAACAACTTTACTCCCATGGTGGTGACTATTGTTTCTTCCGATTATTTCTAACTTCTCTCATGAACGAACATGATCATTTCTGTTTTTTGGGTGAGAAATCATGATTAGAATCTGAATTGGGTTTCCTCATGTTTGTTTGCTGGTGTTAATTTTTCAGTGATAGTAGTATGAACAATCCTCTGTCTCGTCCAAAACCTGTAGTATATCAGGATTCAGTTGTTCAAATCCCCTCCGGAGTCAGCAGGGTTGCCGGCAACCCTGTTGATCCGAAGATCAACGTCTCTGATCCCAACACCCGGATTCCGGTTCAGGATTCTGGGTATCTTTTACAACCCCAATTCGAACAACAACAACAACAACAACAACAACCACCACCGCAGCCTCAACCCCAACAGTTTATACACACTGGTACACATTACATACACCATCACCCAACTGGTGCAGTCCCAATCCCTGCTTACTACCATGTATATCCTTCCCAGCAACAGCCACACCATCACAATCATCCCCAGCTCGATCAGCAACAATACCAGATGTTCTACTTGCCCACTCGACCCTCCCAGGCTTATAATTTACCTGTGCAGCAATCCAGCATCAATGAAGCTGCTGCCACAATGGCATCTAGCCGTCCTCAAACATCTCCTAATCCTGCAATGGTTTCAAACTCTGCAGCCTACAACCCTATGCGAAATGCTCCTCTGGCTAAACCTGAAATGGCTGCTGCCGGAGTCTACAGAACTACAGCTGCAGCTCCTCCACAGTTAGTTCAGGTTCCTACCGGACAGCATCAGCAGCAATATGTTGGTTACTCTCAGATTCATCACCCATCGCAGTCTGTTCCTCCTTCAGCCGGAGCTCCTAATTATGCCTACGAGTTTGTGGATCCCGCTCATGCCCAGATATATTATACACAACCTCTTGCCCCTGGGGTGCCTTCTCAGTACCAAACCATGACAGCAGCTGCAGCTATGGTGTTGCCAGAAGCTTCTTCTCAGCTCCCAACCGAGGCCATGAAGCAGCAGCAGCAGCAGCAGATCAGAACATCACAGCCATTGTGAATGCATCCAGGAAGATAAGAAAAACAATTTTGAAGGACGGGTTTGGTTTATTATTATTATTATCATCATCTTCTTATATTTTCTTATTTAGAGTCTTGTCTTGCTCTGGGTATTGGTTTGTGGTATGTATTTGTGAGTAGACAATAAGGAACTTTGGTGTTCAATTACTGTTTTTTTTTTTTTTCTTTTTCTCCCTTTGTATGTCAAATTGATATTACTGCATAAGGAATTAAAAGTGGTCTAAATATTATACTGTAAAACCTTAAACTCTTCTTCTGAAGTATCGCGTTCTTCGTGTATTCCGATGTCAGTAGTTACCGAGTAATATCATTGTATATAGAGATGCATGCAGGTTTTCGTTTTCTCTGTCATCGGATCTCGGGTTGATGAAATATTGAATTTGCAGAGAAAGTTTTAGTTATGCAGAGCACTTGGGAAATCTGTCTTGAGAAAATTTTTGACAGCCATGTTTGAGAAACTGCAATCTCCAGGTAGGTCATCCAACAACTTCGAATTTTCTTTCAGACTTCTGGTAGCCCGAGAATCGGCTGATCCTCCTCTTATCTCTCATCTTTAATTCTTCATTGTATAAAAAGATCGTAAGTTTGTATCAAACTGTTGTGTTACGATGGATGTAAATATTTTATTTTCAAAATATTTCATACCAGAATCAAATCAAAATAGCTAGAAAACAAAAACCCACAATTAGTAGAAGTGGATTAACTATGGAGATTAATCTAACTCATATTTGTTCTTTCAAAACACACACACACTGATTTTCACGTGGCTGGCTATGCAGAGACAGCAGTACTGCTTATTGTTCTGTTGTTTTTACTATTTAACTCACACACACACACATATATATATATATGTATATGCACATATAATTATATATAGATACTTAAATAATTATATGTGCAGCAAATTAGCAGATAAAATTATGTATAAAACGTACGAGGAATCAAGGCTAGCTAGTTTTCGAGATGGGTGAAAAATAAATTTATGTGGTTAAATTTGTTCACATGATTTCATTTGAGCACTTTAGTAGCATGTGAAGATTTGTACTTTTTTTTTTTTTTTTTTTTTTTCAGAATTTCAGTCCATTTGATATATAGATATACTCAAAAAATAAAAATATATTTATACAACTTAAAAGAATAAACATATGTACATAAATAAATATATATATATTATATAAAAATAGTTCACCACCTTTAAATTTTGTTCTTAAAATGAATTATTTAGTTAAAATAAATATATTATTACAATCTATTTATTTTTATTTTTATTAGACATGGTTTGATTGGTGTGGTTGCAGCTGACACTTAACTAGTAGCCCACTGATTTTCCCAGTGGACTTGCTCGGGTTCAACCTTCATTTAATGCTCTCCATCTGGTAAGGCCAATATTAAAACCATATATATATATATATATATATGTATACGTATACGTATACGTATATAAGATCATTGAATTCCAATTTTATTGAATATATCGAGCTCACTGTAATTTAACATGAAGAGAATGATGATAATCACATACGTAAATCATGGCCTCTTAATCGAAGAAAGTTGAGATGTGCGGGCGTAGAAAAGTGGAGTATTTTAATTTTCGCCAGCCTTAACTTTCAGTGTTCTACAAAGGGAACCCAGGTCATATGTAGTAGGACTTCAAACCTGTTACGCAGCCTTGATTGAGAAAGCATATGATATATATATATATATATATGTATATATCCACACACACACACACACATATATATATATATATATGTAAATGTCCCCACAACATAAACCTTAGAATCACGACTGTATGCGGAGAATCATTTACTTTTTTCATTGTTTAATATTACTCTTCGACAAAGAAGAGAACATTATATATAGTTGATATATCTATCTACTTTTTTTATTAACTGGAATAATTTTTTTTAGATTTTTTCCAGTTGATTTACTTTTACTGAAACTAAATTTTCAGTGGACAATCTTAAGCACCATTCTACATAATTATGGTAAATAGAATTTTTCTGGTAGTCTTATTTACTATTTATAAAAATTATCAACTATCATTTACTCGGATGGTTGGTGCTCTTCCGCATCTGTATATGAGATTGTAAATTTAAATCGGACTCTGCTTCCAATGTGTGTCCCAGTTGGGAGAATAATTGTGTTGGAAGGGGGACCAATAAGAGCCTGGTTGTTTAATGGAGATTCTTGAACAACCTGATTTATTAGGTCCTAAATTTCTGCTTGGTCAAAACACAAGGAGCAGCAGTCATCCATTCATGGGCTCCACTAGAACAAAAAAAGAAAAGTTCATAGGCAAGATGTTCGAGAAGACGGCTGCATTAGGTGGAGACCGTGAGTCAAAAGAATTTTCAGTAAATGAAACAAGACTTTCTGTCACTACAGGTGATTCAGAGGGTAAGCAAGTCGAGTACAACAAGAATCATAAACTTTTTACCTCGAAAATTCTCACACAATTATCAGCTCCGCATGAAGCAAGCTGCATGCTCGGGCAAGTTTCGGTTCTCTCCGCATTTCTCCACGACAAACGATGCACTGCAGAAACATGACAGAGCAAGGGGTCAAGCTTGGCAACAAGTACAGCAGCCGCACCAGGTGCGGCAATGCTACCATCGTCGTTTCGATTGATAACGAGGCTCCATAGTTCTATGAGTCCATTTTCCATTCCAACCGCAAGAAGTCCCTGATTTCTGTTACGATCAAGGCCAACCCAAGATAGGGCAGTGGCACTGCTGCTGAAATGTGGCAAAACAAGAACCTCCTTGACAGAAGATTCTTTCTCCACAGCCCAGATCTTTACGGTCTTGTCCCTTGAACCTGTAGCAAACTCATGTCCGAAAGGGTTCCAAGAACATGCCCATATTATTCTTTTGTGTGCTTCCTGCCTAGCTAAGAGTTTGTGATTAATTTCACCTGTGCCTGTAAGAAACAATTCATGAACATAATCCTACTGTAAAGGTAAACAGCATGATGAGTTAAAACTGTTTTATCAACTAAGACACATCTGTACCATAATTACTGAATAATATCGTAACTACATGTATAAATAAGTTATGCCTCTTTTCCCAAGAGTATTTGGACTGCATGTTTTTTATCGGATGTCTCTGAGGAGACGTTTTTGAACTGCTGCATAACTTCGTATCCAAGTGTAGCAATTTCCAAGGATTTATTACGAACAGAGTTCATTCATGTGGGCTGATCATGATGACAGCAGAAAAGTTCATGTTATGGGTCCAACCAAACATCTTACTGCCCTAGAATTTTTCATTCTTTGTGCTAAAGGTTTGAACGAACATGCCAAAATTTAGTTGAAATGGACTTCTTACACCCATACTGCTCTTCAATCTCTTAGATTATATATTCCACTTAGCCCCACAGCAGGACAAGAAAGTTCAAGATACTAAATCCTTTTACCACTTATCTTGTCCAGAAACAGACAAAGCATGCTAAGAAAACCTCCAAGATTCCCTAGTAAATTAATTATTAAAACCAATAAAGGGAATATTTGTGCAAACAAATAACCAAATGAGAAGAAGAAGAATACCATGATGGATATTGCTAATAAGAGGTTTTGATTACCTGTTCTTTGGATGGTGAAAACAGAGAACTGTCGATCCCTTGAGACAGCTAAAAGCAACTTGTCATCGTGGGAAAATTGTGTTTGTGTCACAGTTAGGCTGTGAGACTGCAAGCGACCAACTGCCTTCCATGAACCTACTTCCCATAGCCATATTTCTGCTACTGCAGCTGATTGAGCCTGCAAGAGATTAAAGATGAACAATAAATTCTGAAGAACATAGGCCAAAAGAAGATTCTGAAGAAATTTATTGGAGCTTGACAGCACTCCAATCAA